CCCCAAAACCCCAAAACCCCAAAACCCCAATAGACAGAAAAACAATTGATAGATCGTAATTTTAGATTAAAACGTGCAATTCCTGGCTATCAAGAATAGTCTGGAGTCTAAGATCTAAGAAGTATCGGGCTTGAGTAACTTGAATCTGTAGAATAAATCGGATCGGACAAAAGCTATAATTGTTATAAAATTTTATAAACTTACACTCTCAGAAACTTCAAAATTTGAAGAAACTAGAAAATCTTCTTGGCCGTAACTGTCGGTCAACCACACACTAATTCTTGGAGTCATGGATAAACTTAGTTTTATCAGATAGATTTGAATCATTGCTGGAACCAAACTCAGAAAGCAATAATGAAAGAAAATGTAAATGACATATCCAGGTAAGTTGTCAGTCAGAGAATCTCTTTTCCATTTTTCAAAGAAGTCTTTGTGACTCCGAGCCATAATAATACTACTTCTGATTTCAAACACAATAAAAATGACTATGGAGCTGATGGCCAATCTCCATTTTATCTTATTGCTCAATTTGACTCCGTCAGTACCTGGATCTAGCTTTTTGAGAGATCTATAAAATAATAGCAAAAGAGTCATGAAAACTGCACCAAACAACATATAAGATGAGGTAAGAACAATAATTGCAGGCGTGATCATTGTTGAATGATCTGTCTTTTTCTTTCAAGTATCTATACCCCCAATTACAAAGATTATTGTAAGTGCTACTAAAATTATCAACATGATTATCCAAATAATTATCTGATGAGTCTTTTTTCTCTTTCTTCGTTTCTGAATCTTCAATATTTGTGACACATAAGTGAAAGATAACACAATAATTGTATTAAGATACATGAAATAATTCATCCAATATGCCCAATAATTTAATCAAGGATTCTTGAATTTAGTGCACCCATCATAGCTTTTGAAATATGCTTGAGATACTCCAAAGGCAATATCACATAGGATAGATGATGTCAGGAACCCCATAAAAAGGCTTGTCAATTTATGTTTAATTCCATAAATTTGTAAATATTTCACTAGATACCTAAGCTGGACTAGAAGGGTAAGGAATCCTAATATTGCGTATATGAGCATCATAATAATAAAAGTTTTGCATCCTTTAGCTGGCTCATTTCTTTCCATTTTACCTGATTTTGAAGATATTACAATTATTTATTATTATCGTGGGGTTTTGGGGTTTTGGGGTTTTGGGGTTTTGGGG